ATAAAATTTCTGAACCCCTGCTCTGATCTAGGTGAATTTCGGATATGTTGGTTACCCAGATCAGGGTGATCAGTGCTATCAGGGCTATCAGGGGATGTAATATTTATGAGGTCCCTATATGTTTTTGTGGTGTTTTCAGAAAATGGGTAAAAACATATTTTTTGTTTGTAGATAATTGAATTGATACAGTAATTAACTCAATTATCTTGCAAACAGAGGGGAGGGTTGGGTACACTGTATGGGAGTGTTTGAATGTAAAACTATGTTTTTATTGGCTTGATAATGTTGTCTCCTGTGCCCCACATGTAACGATAACTTACCTTTCCCCACCGGACCTGTGCAGCGCGGCGTTCTCTTCCCATACTTCCGGGAGGTGGCTCAATCCTTCTGACACCGGCAGCTCACAACACACCCATTTTTATGACGTGGCGCATGCGCGCCGACGTCAGCAAAATAGTGCCGCCAAAATTCTAACATGGGCACGCTTCCTGACCTTTTGGGGGCGTGGCTTTAAAGCTAAGGATCCCACACTATAAAAAGGCAACCATGGCACTTGTTAGGCGCCCTAGTGTGGTTCTTGTTTGAGTCCTCTAGCGCTCTTTATAGTCTGATTGTATTTTTTTGGTATCTGACTCTTGGCTTCCACTCTGACTATTCTGTTCTCTGGTTTCCCATTATTTTGGCTTGGATTATCGTGTGCCCGTTTTCTGTATTCCCTTGACCTCTGGCTATTCCTTTAACTACTCTTAGATGCAAGTCCGGCCACTCTATGGTCTGGTAAATGTCTTCCTCTGGGTTTCACTCTGTGTGAAGGGGTCCCTGTCGTGACATTACACTAGGGCCATGGACCTGCAGCTGTTAACCCTCCTCAGCCGGTACCTGATGACCGGTTTGAAGAACTGGACCATCGCATGGACCAGTTTGCTATAGCTGTACAGACCTTGCTAGCACGTACTGCTCATCTCCAACCGGAGGAGCAAATCCAAGCCCATAGACCTCAGGAACAACCACGGAAATGGTTGCTGTAGGTACTTCCAATCACGCACTTCCAATCTTCGTTATGGGGGGGATCCTAAAGGATGTCGGGGCTTCTTAAACCAAGTTAGTTTTTTTTAAAGCTTCATCCGAGAGCATATCCTACGGATAGGGCAAAGATTGGCAACATAATCACCTTGTTGATCGATAGGGCGTTAGTTTGGGCTAATCCCTTATGGGAGAATGACAACCCGATAGTATTTAACTATGCAGAATTTGTTGCAGCTTTTAGGAGGACTTTTGATCCCCCAGGGAGGAGGACTATTGCTGCCAAGACCTTGTTACGTATGAGACAGAGGTCTCGTGCACTTGTTGACTACACTCTAGAATTCCGTACGCATGCTGCTGAAGTTAGATGGAATAAACAAGCATTTGTAGACGTATTCATGAACAGGCTTTCTGATAAGCTCTTAGATGAGGTAGCTACCAGGGACTTGCCCACATTGATGAGCTTCTCCGGCATAGACAGGACACCAGAGATAAACCTAAACAGGTGCCGGAACGCCTGGCATTGACTTTCCCTTCATCTAAGACAACAGCAGTCACTCCCCCAGAACCTATGCAATTGGGAGTTATGCGTTTGTCTGAGACTGAAAGACAATACCGTCGGGAGGGACTATGCCTATATTGTGGTAGAAATGGTCATTCTCGCTCAACCTGTCCCAACCGGCCGGAAAACTCCCGCATCTAAGCCCTAAAGGAGGACAGGCCTTGGGTGTAATGTGTATGTCCTCCTTCAATGATAAGAAGGATCATAGGCTTCTTCTACCAGTGGTTATTGAATGGGAAGGAAAGAAGGTGCCAACCATTGCCTTGATAGATTCTGGGGCGGCCGAGAATTTTGTTGATCGCAAATTCGGTCAGAAACATGCTCTCCCATTTCAAAATAAATCAACATGGGTAACACTTTAATTATTGGAGATTTTAATTACCCAGATATAAATTGGGACAGAGGGACTAGTGCCTCAGCAAAGGGAATTAGGTTTTTAAACTTGTTAAATGACACCTTCATGTCACAACTTATACAAGCACCAACTAGAATGGATGCTTGTCTGGACCTGGTTTTAACAAACAACGTTGATCTTTTGACCAACATTCAAGTAGGTGAGCACTTGGGAAATAGTGATCACAATATAGTGTCCTTTGAAATAAACTCAAAAAAACAAAAGCACATGGGGAATACTAAAACATATAATTTTAAAAAGGCCAATTTCAATAAGTTAAGGGAAGCTTTACAATATATTGACTGGCATAAACTCTTTAGTGAAAAGAACACTGAGGATAAATGGATCATCTTCCAACAAATATTACAAAGGTACATTTCTCAGTATGTACCATTGGGAAATAAATATAAAAGAAACAAATTAAAACCAACATGGCTTAGTAGAGAAGTAAAACAAGAGATTACAACTAAGAGAAGGGCATTTAAAGCATTTAAATCGGACAAATCAGATGCATCTTATAAAAGATATAAGGATGCAAATAATGCGTGCAAAAAGGCAATTAGACTTGCTAAACTTCAAAATGAAATAATGATAGCTGAAGAGAGCAAAACCAACCCCAAAGCATTTTTTAAGTACATAAATTCTAAAAAAAAACAAAATGAAAGTGTAGGTACACTAAAAACTGAAACGGGGGTGTTAATTAATGAAGACCAGGAAAAGGCAGGAATTTTAAATAACTTTTTCTCCTCCGTATATATTAAGGAAGAACCCATGGCAATAGATGTGCAAATGATTGCTACTAAAAACTTGCAGAATAATTGTAATTGGTTAACTCAAGACAAGGTGCTGCAGCAACTAAAGAAAGTTAATATAAACAAAGCTCCAGGGCCTGACGGTATCCATCCATGTGTACTTAAGGAACTAAGTGCAGAAATAAGTGAACCTCTGTTTTTAATCTTTCAAGATTCTTTTCTTTCAGGAAGTGTTCCGGAGGATTGGAGGAAGGCAGATGTGGTTCCTATATTCAAAAAGGGTTCAAAATCCTTGCCTGGAAATTATAGACCTGTGAGCTTAACTTCTGTGGCTGGTAAAATATTTGAAAGGTTATTAAGGGATAATATTCAAGAATTCCTTGAGAAGAACATGGTTATCAGCAAAAATCAGCATGGTTTTATGAAGCACAGGTCATGTCAAACTAACTTGATTGCGTTCTACGAAGAAGTAAGTAGAAGTATAGATCAGGGTGTTGCCGTGGATGTGATCTATTTGGATTTTGCCAAGGCATTTGATACAGTTCCACACAATAGATTAGTGTTCAAACTCAAGGAAATCGGTCTAGATGAAAATGCTTGTTCTTGGGTAGAACATTGGCTTAAAAACAGAGTACAAAGAGTTGTCATTAATGGTAAATTTTCAAGCTGGACAGAGGTGGCAAGTGGTGTCCCTCAGGGGTCTGTTCTGGGACCCCTTCTATTTAACATGTTTATAAATGATCTTGAAGACCGCATTGAAAGTCATGTTTCAGTGTTTGCAGATGACACCAAACTTTGTAAAACAATACAATGTGAGCAAGATATTACTTTGCTGCAGAGGGATTTAGATAGACTGGGGGACTGGGCACTCAAATGGCAGATGAAATTTAATGTTGAAAATGCAAAGTTATGCACTTCGGCGTAAAGAATACACAAGCAACGTATACCCTTAATGGAAGCGAATTAGGGATAACAACACATGAAAAGGACTTGGGAATTGTTATAGACAACAAACTATGCAACAATGTGCAATGTCAATCAGCAGTGGCCAAGGCCAGTAAGGTATTGTCATGCATGAAAAAGGGCATTCATTCTCGGGACAAGAATATAATTTTGCCTCTTTATAAATCACTGGTAAGACCCCATATTGAATATGCTGTGCAATTTTGGGCACCTGTTCTAAAGAAGGATATTATGGCACTAGAAAAAGTGCAGAGGCGGGCTACAAAATTAATAAAAGGAATGGAACATATCGGCTATGAAGAAAGGTTAACAAATTTAAACCTATTTAGTTTAGAAAAACGTCGCCTGAGAGGGGATATGATAACATTATACAAATATATTCGGGGCCAATACAAACCATTGTGTGGAAATCTATTCACAAACCGGACTTTACATAGGACACGAGGTCATGAGTTTAGACTGGAAGAAAGAAGATTTCGTCTAAGGCAAAGGAAAGGTTTTTTTACTGTAAGAACAATCAGGATGTGGAATTCTCTGCCTGAGGAAGTGGTTTTATCAGAGTCCATACAGATGTTCAAACGGCTACTAGATGCATACTTGCAAGAACAGAATATTCAAGGATATAATCTTCAATGTAGGGTAATAACTGCTTGATCCAAGGATAAATCTGACTGCCATTCTGGGGTCAAGAAGGAATTTTTTTCCTAGCTTGTTGCAAAATTGTGCTTCAAACTGGGTTTTTTTGCCTTCTTTTGGATCAACAGCAAAAAACAAATGTGAGGAAGGCTGAACTTGATGGACGCAAGTCTCTTTTCAGCTATGTAACTATGTAACTATGTAACTATGTAACACCCTTGGCCGTTGAGGCCATAGATGGTAGACCACTGTCAATCCCTTTTATCACACAAGAGACTAATCCAGTGGTATTGTCCGTAGGTTCCCTGCATAGGGAGGTTACAATCCTGCAACAAATCATTTCTCCCATCTTTCCCATTATCCTTGGCTTTCCCTGGCACTCTAAACATAATCCTTCTATAGACTAGGAGAAAAAAAAGAGATTTTAAAATTGGGTGATACTTGTCTTAGAAAATGTATTACTCCAATAAAACATGTAGGTTTACTTAATGTGCCTACTATGGAACCTTTAACCAGTCAGATACCCAAACAATATTTGGATCTTAAAGCTGTTTTTTTTTTTTTTAATTCTTTATTTTTGTAGTGCATAGGCTTTTAACAGTCAGTTGTGAGGTACCCCAAAGGCATTACTCCAACGCATTATCGACAGTTGAACAGAGAGGTATATGAGATAGCGAGCACAATTTTTTTGTTTAAAAGTAGTTAAGTATTAACATGGTAGGAAACAAGCTTAGGTAACATTATACTGGATATCGCTGTTCAGTCGTTTGAATGCATATCTACTTAGTGAATGAATAGAGTTAAGCGCAATGCTATGCTGGGGCGCACAATGTGTAAACATGCTAGGTCTATACAATATTCATTAAGAGTAATTTAAGTAAAATACAATAAAGGAGTATGCTACATACAAGACAGAGCCTTTGTGTAAGATGTCATATGAGCTTCACTGTCCTATACATTAGCGTATAAGAGATATGTTTGTTAGTATAGAGC